TCTTCTTGACCACAAGAGTGACCAATGGTCAGTTGGGTTTGACCTTGACCTTGAGTTTGACCCCTCCATTGGTCAAATGTCCACTTTTGGTTCTCCTTGACCATGACCACCAAAGTGACCAATGGTCAGTTGGGTTTGACCTTGACCTTGAGAGTGACCAATGGCCACTTTTGGTTCTTCTTGACCTCTTGATGGTCAAATGTCCACTCTGGTGGGTTCTCTTTGACCTTGACCACGAGAGTGACCAATGGTCAGTTGGGGGTTTGACCTTGACCTTGAGTTTGACCCCACGATGGTCAAATGTCCACTTTTGGCTCTTCTTGACCTCCAAAGTGACCAATGGTCACTTTGGTGGGTTCTCCTTGACCTTGACCACCAAAGTGACCAGTGGTCAGTTGGGCGTTGGCCGTGACCTTGAGTGTGACCCCTCCAATGGTCAAATGTCCACTTTTGGTTCTTCTTGACCCCTTGATGGTCAAATGTCCACTCTGGTGGGTTCTCCTTGACCTTGACCACGAGAGTGACCAATGGTCAGTTGGGTGTTGACCGTGACCCAACGATGGTCAAATGTCCACTTTTGGCTCTTCTTGACCCCACGATGACCAATGGTCACTTTGGTGGGTTCTCCTTGACCATGACCACGAGAGTGACCAATGGTCAGTTGGGGTTTCACCGTGACCACGAGAGTGACCAATGGTCACTTTTGGGTTTTCTCCACAGCTTTGATGACCAATGGCCACTTTTGGTTCTTCTCGACCCCACGAGAGTGACCAATGGTCAGTTGGCCTTGACCTTGACCCCACGATGGTCAAATGTCCACTTTTGGCTCTTCTTGACCTCACGATGACCAATGGTCACTTTGGTGGGTTCTGCTTGACCTTGACAAGAGAGTGACCAATGGTCAGTTGGGCGTTGGCCTTGGCCTTGAGTTTGACCCCTCCAATGGTCAAATGTCCACTCTGGAGGGTTCTCCTTGACCTTGACCACCAAAGTGACCAATGGTCAGTTGGGGTTTCACCGTGACCACGAGAGTGACCAATGGTCACTTTTGGGTTTTCTCCTTTGCTTTGATGACCAATGGCCACTTTTGGTTCTTCTTGACCTCCACGATGACCAATGGTCACTTTGGTGAGTTCATCTTGACTGTGACCACGAGAGTGACCAATGGTCAGTTGGGGTTTGGCCGTGACCTTGAGTTTGACCCCTCCAATGGTCAAATGGCCACTTTTGGTTCTTCTTGACCTCACGATGACCAATGGTCAGTTGGAGTTTGACCTTGACCTTGAGTTTGACCCGATGATGGTCAAATGTCCACTTTTGGTTCTTCTCGACCTCATGATGACCAATGGTCACTTTGGTGGGTTCTCCTTGACCTTGACCACGAGAGTGACCAATGGTCAGTTGGGGGTTTGGCCGTGACCTTGAGTGTGACCCCTCCAATGGTCAAATGTCCACTTTTGGTTCTTCTCGACCGTGAGAGTGACCAATGGTCAGTTGGGGTTTGACCTTGACCTTGATGTTGACCCTCTGATGGTCAAATGTCCACTTTTGGTTCTTCTTGACCTCATGATGACCAATGGTCACTTTGGTGGGTTCTCCTTGACCGTGACCACCAGAGTGACCAATGGTCAGTTGGGCGTTGGCCTTGACCTCCATGATCTCAAAGTCCATTTTTGGGACGTTCTCCGTGATTTTGGTGACAAAAACCCAACTTTGGTGAATTTTCCTCAACTTTAATCTCCTCAAAGTCCATTCTTAGAAAATTCTCCATGATTTTGGTGACAAAACCCCAATTTTGGGCAGTTTTCCACAACTTCAATGACCTCAAAGTCAATTTTTGGGAGATTCTTCTCCATTTTGGAGATAAAAACCCAACTCTGGTGAATTTCCTTCAACTTTAATGATCCAAAAGTCCAACTTTTGAAGGTTCTCCATGACTTCGATGACCTCAAAATCCAACTTTGGAAAATTATCCATAATTTTAACGACAAAACCCCAATTTTGTCCCATTTTCCATAACTTTAATGACCTTAAAGTCCATCTTTAGGAAGTTCTCTTTGATTTTGGTGACAAAAACCCAACTTTGGTGGATTTTTCTCAACTTTAATCTCCTCCAATCCCAATTTTTGGGAGCTTTCCTTAAGTTTAATCTCCTCAAAGTCCRTTTTTMGMRKGTTCTTCTCCATTTTGGTGACAAAAACCCAATTCTGGAAGGTTCTCCACAACTTTCATGTCCTC